AAAAAAAAAAAAAACTCACCAAGATTCAATGACAATTAGAAAAGTGTCGAGAAAACGACATCTTATTTTAATACTTTTCGTGAAGAAAAATCATGCATGCAATTATTCTTCATAAATATGTTCCATGCAACCATATAATTAGTAGAAAGCCAACCCAAAAATTTAATCTCTTTTATTTTCTTATTTTCCAACTCATGTCTTTTTAGCTTCTTCATAACTTGGTCTTCAGTTTTAAATTTTTTTGTTAAGGCTGTTTCTACTTTTACATATAAGAAATTTATAACTAATTTACATTTATTAAAAAAATTAATTTAGTTTAATACATCTTATTTGTTTTTTAATTATAATATAAAACTACTCTGAATTAATGAATAGAGATAGAATAATAGTATTAGAGTTTTAACTTTTAGTCTATGATAAAATCTTGAATGTTTCTGATGATTTTTTTTAACCGTTCGTTCTCAATAAAAAGAAATCTATTTTGTTTTACACTATAAAGCTCTGTTTACATAACTTTATTTCATTATTTAAAGAGCAATCTGAAAAAAAAAAAAGAGAAACAGAAAAATTATGGAAAATGTATTAAGGAAGCAATCATAATTTTTTTATTAAGAATAAAAAATATAACTCCAACAATTTACCAAAGATAAAAAGTACATCTAAGTCTTCTCAAAATCTTCCATCTTCCGAAAAATCACATATCCTATAATTTATTATCTATGATCCAAAATAGTTAAGAATATTTTTTATTAAAATATAACTAATACAAGAGAACTAAATTAAAGGCTTATAAAAAAGAAAATTTGGCCTTACAACCGATTTAAGAGTTTTGTTAAAAAATAAATAAAATTTAACATCAGTTTACAACAGATTTAAAAACATGCTTTTCAAATCGAATTTTCAAAATACTATTTAAAAATCCATCTATTAAATTGATTGCATTGAAATCTATTAAAACGACGACCTTTCAAATTGGTTTTCTCTAAGGTTGATTTAAAATTTGTACATTATCTAATTTGATGATAATAGAAAATATATCAAATTTGGAGATGAAGTGTTTCCAAAGCTAACAAAAAAAATTAATAAAGATAATAAAAAACACTCTAAATTAATTATACTCCTTTTTGGTGCATAGTTTAAATAAGTCTTTAAATTAATTATATTCCTTTTTTCTCTCATTTCCATATTGAAACTTGTATTTGGGGATGTGGTAAATAGTTATGATACATTACAAAATATGAATGATTTTGGATTCAAAATAAACATGTTTAAGCTAATAAGGCATCTCCACGGATTGAGGATATGACTTAGAGTCTCTTCTTGCAATGATTCTCATTCTTATCTCCAAGAACACAAAGACAATGACCAAGATAGCAATAGTGACTCCATAAGCAAGAAACCACTTAGATCCTTCTCCTCCCAAATGGAGTCCATAAAAGGTGTTAAGAATTGCAAAGATAATCAAAATCCTCCCCACATTATGATGATACCAATTCCAATACTTTCTTATCTTTGATTCTTTTCCTGGTCTTAATATAATGGCTAACACCTACCAAATCAAGTCACAAATAAATAACATGAGTGAAAATAACTTTGATTTTATATCAGAAAATGAGTTCGATATAAAACTAAAGGAGAGAAAAAATGGTTAATTAATTAACCTGTAGGAAGCCAAGGATGATGATGAGGAATGCTACATTTTTGTGATGAGTGACTTCGAGATTCCTATCTAAGAGCAATCCACATAAAACTCCAAGTATGCCAGCAAGGAACCCAAATGCTTGAATTGAAGCATGCAGATAAAACCACATGGGATCCCTTTCTTTGAAGTATCGTGCAATTATGGATCCTATAATCATTAGAATGCTCCATCCCATAATGTTCAGAACTCCATGGCTTCTTCGAAGATTTAGATTAGAATTGTTTTTAGTTGAACCTCCTGCAAGAGAGCCAAAGTTATAACAACATTCAGACTTAACCACACCATGAGATATATGCCAAACATGTATACATAGTTTAAGAAGTGAACTTTAAATCTAATTTAGTCTTATAAAAAAATCAGTGTATAAGATGAGATTTGTATTCACTTATATATCATAAATTTACATTATCTCTCGTATACATGATCTAACACATTCCCTCACACTGAGACATATACGTTATGAGTGTGGACTAAACATTAATGGTAGTTTAATAGTGATATGACAAGTGACATGATAGTCTTAATAAACAACAAATCTTGGTAGAATATATTTTGGAACATTTTGATATGGAGGTGAACTTTAAATCTAATTCAATCTTATAAAATTAGTTTATAAAATAAGATTTACATTCACTAGTTATATACTCTAAATTCATCTTACTAATCAAGGTGAGATTTCAACACACAATTATCATCACTTTCCAATTCATCAAAATCCTATCAGTGTTACTTAAAATGAAGGCGTTGTGTTCCAAAAACTTTTTTCAACGCATGTATAACGTATTCATGTATAAAGATCTGCAGATTAATATCCAAATTGGTTCATTAAAAGGAGTAATTTCAATCTATGATAAGAAAAAACAGTAATTAATACTTTAACAGACTCATGATTTGTTATGCATGTGCCATGTATTGATGTTGATGATGAACAACAAAAGGGTTCTTCACTAACCTTTTGAATAATCAATGGTTACTGATGTCTGATCAATATGTTTGGGCAAGTCATAGCTTGGATAATCAGGAAACTGGCCATTGGGTCCAATGGCAAATATGAGATTGGAAGAAGGTTGAGTGGTCTTCAATTGGAAGATCAAGTAACCAAGTGAACCAGTTGCTGGAACAAATGATGCATTCATAATATAAAGATCACTTCTGTCTTTAATCACTTCATCTTTTGATTTTCCACCCAGATAGTAATATTTCATGCCCCCAGCACCTGGAGATGGCATCCACCCCACAATGGCACTAGAACCCACCATGCTTCCATCTTTCGAGAACCCTATCGCTGCATAAGCTTTTGGGTCTAATGGGAATGAAAATATGAAGCTCCACACATCTGATGAAGCCTTAGCATACTGATCAGAGAACCAAACAAAAACAAGAAAGATACCTGATTAAATTTTTAATGTTACACTCAAGTTCAGTTATGTATATTTCAAATACTCTAATGAATATATTTAAAGTGTTGTTATTCATATGATGAAGCTGTATAAAACCAATGCTTCTGAAAAGTTTATTCAGAGTCTGTTGACAGAAAAATGTAAGTCACATACTCTAAGGATGAAACTGTGAGCAGGCCAAACAGAACTGCAGAGGAGTGAACTTGTATCGAAAGGGATAGGAAGCTGAAGTTGCTGCAATTTAGAGGAGCATGAATCTTGAGAAGTGACAAAGGTTGATGAACTATAGAGCATAATGAACAAGATTATCTGACAGAAACTTGTTAACTTCATCTTTGTGTGGAGGAAGATAATTAAGCACCAAAGACGGCAGAAGTAACTACTCAGAGTGTGTCACTAATTATGTTCAATTTTATAGTGAAAAAGTATGATGATCCTTGAAATTATAAATGGTTGTTTTTGACAATTGGCATTGCCGGCTGGAACAAGACATGCAGGCACTGCTATTGTTTCATTCAAATGTTAGAGAAGACCAACCAGCCAACTGCGTACGGTGTTAATTTTAAGCTTCACAATCAACCAAAAGTTAGTTTGAGGAGACTTTGTTGTTGGAACTATTGTCTTGTAGCATACCTCTTATCATGGTAATAATGATATACCTTCATAATGTGACTTGAACTTCTGCTATATAAAATAAGAATATTGAACTGATAAAAAATAAAGAGTTGACATCAGTATATCTGAATAATATTTTTAATCATTTTAATTAATTTTCTTTGTTTATGCAAAATAATAATCAGGCATTCATGTATGCATGTGAAGACTCATAATTACGTGAATCTTGCATAGGAATATGCTGAAAAAAAAAACAATTCTGATGTATAAATTAGACTTAGGTTAAACTTTGACATTAACTAATGTTATTTTTACTTCATATTCTCACTCTATATGTTTCTACTTTTTTTATTTTCATCCTTAAAGTTCTTTTTCCACTTCACACTTGCACTATTCCATTAAATTGGGAAGCTATACACAGAAAGCACTCCGATACTAAAGTGAGTAAATGTCTCACAGTAATAATAATTAATGTACAAAGAATGTAACCAACCTATCACAATATCACAAATCTATGACTAGAGTTGATTTAATTACGTCTATAACTATATTTAACGTGAACTCCAGTTTTAGTTTGAGATTCGGTTTTTCAACCAGTTCCCATGAAATCGTAACCTAGTCAAGTCCAATTTTTGAGCTAACTGGACAATTTGGTTCTTGAGCTGATGGAACAATTATATTATATATTTTCATCCCCACATTTAGGAGATTCGAAAAATCTGGAGATTTAATTTCATTATAACTACTATGTGTAGAATTGTGTCTTTTGTTTATAAAAAAATTGTAAACTTCTCAAAGTATTTAGTACAACACCAGTTATTAAACGTTGGGGTGGAAATATATTTTTTAATTAATGTATGTTTACTTTATCAACGATAGAGTTTTGTACAATCTCATTTTTATATAATGTAATGGACTACTGACAGCAATTTGTTGAAGCTAGCTTTGGCATTAAGAGGAAGAGGCATGCATAATTAAAATATATGTTAAACATAAAATTAATTGATGAGAAATTCTCTTGGTACAAAAATAAGTTACAAATGGAAGTAAAGTTGCAAATAAAAGGCAGTGGTGAAAGAAATTAAAATGTATGAAGGAAAAAAATTTAGTCTTTACTGCAGAGTTGTGTCTCAAAAGTAAGTGCCATTGTAAGTAATATGGCCAGCACAATACCATAACCTATATTCCATCCACTTCCCTCCTTCCCTAATTGGATTCCATAGAAAATGTTAGCCACGGCTAGTATAATCAAAATTCTCCCCATGTTATGATGGTATAAATTCCAATACTTTCTCACTTTTGATTCCTTCTTTGGTCGACCAAGCAAAGCCATTACCTACAAAAACCATATAAAGTTTTTGAGTATTCCAAAGGATATATAGTTTGAAAAAGTTTAAGATAAAGTGCAGAATTATTTAAAATGTAAAGTATACCTGGAAGCAGGCTAGAACGAAAATGATGATTCCAAGAGCCTTGTGAAGAGTAACGTCAACATGGAGTTGATTATTCAACACAAAACCACTAATTACACCAATTACTCCAAGAACAAAACCCAAGAATTGAACTGAAGCGTGAAAATAAAACCAAAATGGATCCCATTCCCTGAAGTAACGAGCAACTATTGCTCCCATTATGATTAGGATGCCCCATCCCAAGATATTCAGCACTCCATGGCTTCTTTT